CAAGAACTCTGACTCACTCTGACTCACTCCGACTCACTCTGACTCACTCTGACTCACTCTGACTCACTGCGACTCACTCTGACTCAATCTGACTCACTCTGACTCACTCTGACTCACTCTGACTCACGCTGACTCACTCTGACTCACTCTGACTCACTCTGACTCACTCTGACTCACTCTGACTCACTCTGACTCAATCTGACTCACTCTGACTCACTCTGACTCCGCCTCACTCGATCTCTCCTCTGCTCTCTTCCGCCTCACTTTCGCATACACACGCGGGCACACTCGTATCCAAGCGCACACTCGCATGAACGCGCATATACTCGCATACACGCGCGCACTCTTGCACACACACGCACACACTCACATACACGCGCACTTGCATGAACCGCACACACGCACACACTCATAAACGCACACACTCGCATACACGCACATGCACTCGCATGCACGCGCACACGCGCGCACACTTACATACACTCGCATACGGGCTCATACACTTGCATACACGCGCACACTCGCATGCATACACCCGCACACTCGCATGCATACACGCGCACGCACGCGCACGCACACGCGCACACGCGCACACACCACACAACACCACAACACACACACACACACACACACAAACACACAGACAAACACACACAGACAGACACACACACACACACACACACACACACACACATACACATAAACGCGCACACTGCCATACACGCGCACACTGTCATACACGAACACACTCGCATGCACGCACACACGCATATATGCACTGTCATAAACGCACATACTCGCATACACGCACACTCTCATACACGCGCACACACGCGCGCGCACTTGCATACACTCGCATACGGGCTCATACACTCCTATACACGCGCACACTCGCATGCACGCACGCACACACGCACATGCACACTGTTATAAACGCGCGCACACGCGCGCACACTTGCATATACACTCGCCTACGCGCTCATACACTCGCATACATGCACACATTCGTACACACGCGCACATTCTAATGAGACAACGCAGTACTTAGCTTTCGATAATTGGCGGTGGTTCAACGTTTAAATAATCTTCGCATTTTTTCTCGCCCTCAAAAACAAATTGAACATATAATTATAATTTATAATGATATAATTGTCACAAACTGCTGTGTTTACGACACCTCGTTATAGTCAACACAGAAACTGCAACAACAATATTACATTTTAGGAGAACCTTCAACATTCTACATGTGCATATAACATTAAACGCAATCAGGTACATACAAACGAAACGTAACCGATACCGTGCATGCCGGATGACGACGACATCCAGGCTGATACACACCGTATCATGCTAAATGAGATGGAAGGAAGGATCATCGATAAGGTCAGTCAAGCCATTGAGGCAGTCATTCAAGATAAGTTAGCCTCATGCAAGAACAACGGAACCGGATCAACGGATCAAGGATCAACGGAACCGTCGCTCACCTGGAAAAAAAGCCAGGACCTCTTGGCTAAGAAGTATGACAGTATAATAGATGAAAACAAGGTACTTAAGCTAACCGTCTCGAAACTGGAGCAAATCGCTAGCACTAACTCTATGGCTATTGACGCACTAGACCAGTATGAGAGGAGGGAGACCCTAATTTTCACAGGAATCCCCTCCAATAGTGTAGAAAGCACCGATGCGCTAATAATTGATGTGGCTATTGCCATGAATATTAAAATCAAACTGGAAGACATCCGCGTCTCACACAGACTACAAAAACACAACTCTAAGACCCCACCATCAATCATTGTAAAATTCACAACTCGAAACTTGAGAGACAAAATATATGTACATAGACAACTTGTACCGACACTCGATAAAATTGGCTTCACCTCCACAGACAAAATATTTATCAATGAGAGTCTAACAGAAACCAGAAGACGACTATTCTCGAAGTGCCTGTCACTAAAAAAAGAAAAAGGATACAGGTTCCTCTGGACCAGAAATGGCCAGATCCTGACCAGAAAAACTGAAGCATCTGAAATAATGCAAATTAATAACGATCAAGACCTTACCAAAATGCTATAGGATAGCCCAGCCAAAGCGGCTCAGTATCTGAATAAACCTGATATTTATATTGATTATGATTAATTATCCAGGTGCACACTGTAACAATCCATGTAAAACTAACCAACAAGCCATCTTTTGCGTACGTGCGTGCGGGCGGGCGGTCGTGCGTGTGTGCGTGCGTACGTGCGGGCGTGCGTGCGTGCGGGCGTGCGTGCGGGCGTGCATGCGTGCGGGTGTGCGTGCGGGCGTGCGTGCCTGCGGGTATGCGTGCGGGCGTGCGTGCGTGCGGGTGTGCGTGCGGGCGTGCGTGCGTGCGTGTATGCGTGCGGGCGTGCGTGCGTGCATGTAGTGCGCGGCGTGGCGTGCGGTACGCGACATGGCTCGCGCTGTGTGCGTGTGTGCCGGCGTGCGGGCGGATCGTGGCGATCGCGTGTATGCAGGAGTCCGTGGCGTGCGGCACATGCGTGCGTGCGTGCAACAATGCGTGTGTGGCGTGCGATACGGGCGTACATGCGTGCGTGGTCGTGCGTACGTGCATCGTGCGGACGTGCGTGCGGCGGGCGGGCGTGCGCTGTGTGTTATGTATTGTGCGTGGACAGAGTAACGGGTGGCGAAATGCCACTCGATACGCCGCCTAATCATAAATCAAGTTGTGTTTGACGGCTATACGCACGTTACTGTCTCTCTATCTCTCCTATCTCTCGCGCGCATCTCTGCTGCGCGCGAAGGCGCGGTCTCTCTCTCGTCTCTCTCTCTTCTCTCCGCTCTGCTCTCTTTCTCTTTCCTATTTCCTCATACACACATTCGCTGCTTTCCGCTCTCTCTTTTTCTACAATTTTCTCCGTTTCTGCGCGTTCTGTTTTTTCTTTGTCTTTGTCTCTACCCCTCTATCTCTCCCCTCTCCGATTTGCCTCCCCCTCTCCCTCCTCTTCTCTTTCTGCACCGGACACTATCCTCTCCGCCTCTCTCCTCGCCTCACAGCCGCGGCCTACTCTCTCCCCCCTCTCTACCTCTTTCGCCCTTTCTCTCCACCCGCTCTCCCTGTTCCCTCTCTCTCGCGACGTTGGCCGTGATCAGGCTGGAGAGGTCGGACTGGTCGTGACGTGACATCGGTTACGGATGAGAGCGACGCCCTCAGCCGCGCCGCAACGACAAATCCTCACCTGTGACAACGTCGTTATCACTCCCCTGCGCTTACGGGGCACGACGATGATAAGTACGACACGCACGCACGCACTCACGCACGCCCGCACGCACACACGCACGCACGCACGCCATTCGCACGCACTCGCGCAGACACGGCATGTGCGCGGTCGCGCACGTCGAAACTGCAAGCACACTCACGTGAACACACTTACGCACGCGCGCGCGCGGACACGCACCTTAAGCTTGCGCAGATCGGAAGATTGCGCGCAACATAATATATATATATATATATATATATATATATATATATATATATATATGACACACACACCCATGCATGCACGTTCTGCAATACTCACACAGAAACATGACATATTTGAATATTATCAAAAGCGTTCTTAGAAATAGGAGTGCGAACAGAATTATAACAACATTTAAAAGGACGAATGCACATAGAACTTAGAAGACATAAATATAACTGTAACGGAACTTCCAGCAGGCTGTATGCATTCAACTTCGGAGATAGCCGAGTTCGTGCATGACCTAGTAGCGCCACCTCGGAGGCAAACATGGAACTATAACCAGACTGCGTTCGGATCAGTGCGTGAAACGTCGTCGAAAGAATTCAACGTGCAGCGTTCATTAGTACTAATCAATTATGAAAAACAAAATGTATTACCTACATCACCTCATCCAACGTCACATAGCTTATTTGACCTTACTATAAAATATCGGTTACTCACATATACCGCGTACAAACACGCAAATAGAAACCTAAATTTATTGAAGCATAGAGATACGTATAGGAAGGCATATACATTTAGAGTAGATGGTACAGATAGTGGAATGCTGCAGCCGAAATTAAATTTAGAGATGTGATGTTGCCAGGGAAGTCTCGTTCGGACATGCCACTCATTATTATATAATAAGGGTCTATATATAATATATATATAAGGATCATATATATTATATATTATATATATTATATATATAAAGGTCAAACATTGGCTTGGGTGGTTACCGCGACGAGCGACCCACGCGCCATTACTCATGTACCTTAGCCTATATAGCTCTATATGGTAAAGTACACTAACTGTGATATTATAGTTATGAATATATATTCTCGGATGAACGTTAACACCCGCAGGAGGATATTAACAGCTTGCACCAGCATGATTTGTTGAACATACCTCACTACATTGACACTACTGCAGTTACCTTCACTGACTCACTCCCCTCATTCCTATGTGCATTAACATGCGAAAAGAATCGTGGCGGGATGCTGCGGCCAAATCGAAATTTCTAGGGCAAATTTTACTTTGCAGACTTTGCACATCTCTCCCGGCCATGCCCCTGCCTTTTCTGAGCGCGTAAGATTGGCGAAAAAATTGCCACTTTGTGCCGTTGTTCATTGTAAAAATACTAATCGTAAGCAAATAAACAATTTGAATTTGAATTTGGATGATTAGATTGGATGATTGAATTGGATGGTTTGGATAATTTCGTTTTATTATTGAGTAGGGTCTATAGGGTATTTTATTTAGGATTTATGCCGGTTTATGTTTCTATTATCAGTGATAATAATCTATTATGCATATCTTTCATATTTCCAAAATCTAGCTGAGGTATATGCCCGCTTTCTCCTCCTTTCCCTGGAGGCTATTCTAACTTCTATGCATAGATATCTGTGGTTCTATAGATATAGAATAGAAATCTGTATTCTATATCTATGGTGGTTCTCGGTCTGGCGCCCGAACGAAATTGTTTGGTGGCTGGTTCGTAGAGGGCGCCACTTATCTTATAAACGTAAGTGTGGGCAGAGAGTCGGTAACACAACGTCAACGTAACGTGAGGTCGCAGGTAATAAGGTAACAAGGTAATAAGGCCGTTTTAATAATCAAATGATTGTAAATCAACACAATTTGTCTGTAGGCCAAGGAGCTACATATAACATATGTTATATGTAGCTCCTTGCTGTAGCCTGTGTAGGCTAGCGTTAGCTCCAAGAAACGGTATTGCTAGGATTAGAATACTGACGTTATTGGCTGGGGTACTAACGTTACGTACTGTACGTTGGGAATGTTACGTACGTACGTTACGTAACGTACGTAACACGTAGCGTACGTACGTAACTGAACGTTACGTACGTTGGGTTACTGTAGCGTTAGCTCTATAGTACTATAGCCCGCGGATTGCTGCGGCAGCTATAGTACTAGAGTATAAGTAGAGTATAGTACTAGAGTACAAGTATAGTACTAGAGGGCTATAGTACTAGAGCTAAGTAGAGGCTAGCTACTGACAGTACTGTAGCGTAGGCCTACAGTGAACTAGCCACCCACCTGCCACCTACTTACTACTAATATTAGGACTACATTCTCCACACTAGTCTATAGTACTAGAGTTACCTTCTCCAGGGGTGAATGACAGACTGGCATTATTCACCCCTGCCTCCTCACTTCACACTGCACTAGTAACAAGCTACACCAGCTATTTTTGACAATCGGCCCGCCAAAATGCACTCAAATCACAGAAATTCCTCAAATGTTGATACAAAACGACCGGTCGAATATCACACAAGTTGCGGAAACACACAGGGGGAACTGTTGGCGGCTGCGCTGATTTGCTGCATGTATACATGTGCACACAGGCCGCTAGGCAATACAGGTTGATAAGCAAACAGCAGTAGAGGGCCGTTTAGCACAGTGGTTCTTAACCTTTTTGGCCCCACGACCCCATCAGACATTCTTGGTCAGTACCGTTAACCCCGAAACAAATATTTAAAAAAAAACAGCTTGATTTATATCGAATTTAAATGATTTGTTTCATTTATGACACCTTCATGACCACCGGAAAAACCCCAAACGACCCCATGGGGGTCACGACCCCCAGGTTAAGGACTGCTCGCCCAATGATGTCAACACCCATTTCCTCTTGTGTAAGGTTGGACTCGTCGATTTGTATGCACATTTGAGGAATTTCTGTGTTATAAGTGCATTTTGGCAGGCAGACATTTAAAAATTGCTGGTGTAGCGTGTTGAGCAGTCCTCCGCGATTCCAGCAATACTTAGAAAGTGGCGCCACCTGCAGGGACAATTGGGAGCTGATTGAAAACGGTGAGTTGGGCAAAGCTCAGTGGCGAGGCATGTGATCATGTATGTCTGTAGCTCTAGTACTATAGCCCGCGTACAGTTGCCGCGGGGCTATAGAACATTCTATTACGAATGCTAGGGACTGGTCAACCCGCTGACTGGCGCTGCTGCAGCGCCACCAAAAATGGCCATTTGAAGTTCGTAAATAATGTTCGTTTACAAGAAATACCACAAGCAGACCATTTCAACGATAGTTAGAGGTTAAATTTTAGTAGCTGATATATTCACATAGCAGTACATATTCACTTCGGCTAAGAGGCATTAATTGCCTACCACAGACGTTTTATAGCCGCGAGTAACCGTGAATGAGTTGGTCCCTAGCATTCGTAATAGAATGTTCTATAGCCCTGTGGCAACTGTACGCGGGCTATAGTACTAGAGCTAGTATGTCTGTGGCTTGCAGGTGAAGACATGGGGAAGCACTACTACTGTGATTACTGCGAGCGAAGTTTTGCCGACAACCTGGGCCATCGCAAACGTCACCTGAAAAGTAACATTCATCAGCAACAAAGACAAGCTTACTACAACTCTCTCAGAGGTAATATATTACTACCAGGAGTGTATAATACAGTCGTAATATATCTATATTATACACTCCTATTACTATTACATAAAATATCAATGATCGTCTAGTAAGTAAAACTGTACAGTAACAGTAAGTCATGATGCTGTTAAGCCACTAAGTGCTATCACACTCCATGAGATCACTGGTTAGTTCCTAAAGGAAGTAGATACTGCTCTATATTTAAGGTAATGTTCTCAAGCATTTCAAAACACAAATATGGCAACATTCGAATTTGTAATTTGGCGATATGAAACCAAGTCGATGAAATCATTGCTTCCTTAATTCCCACCAGATGCCAGCACTATTTTACGAGAAGAAATGGGAAAACAATCATGCAGGAAATATCAACAAACAGGTCAGTATGTCTACAATTTTAGTCTCAGCTACATACATGACAAAACTTATTATGTACATACACCGGATACTGGTATGTGTGTTTGAGTAATGGTATAGTTAAAATTATAAATACAGTGTTGCAATGCATATGGAACATTTTCATATACGATTCATTTATCCACATTTAGGGGAGTGCAACTTTAAAGAATCGTGCCGCTTTTCGCACATGACACCAGAGAAACTCTATATGTTACAAGAGAGAGGTAAGGTAAAATGCTACATTCTGTAGGAGAGGTCATGTAAGAATGTAAGGTGCTACAAGCTGGAGTTGAGGTAACGTTAGAGGGGTAAGGTAATGTGTCATTCGCAATCAGAGTTGGTGTGAATTTTTCGACCTTGTTTAAATTCATATAGTAGTCTGTATCTGTTTGCACAGTAAGAATGGATAAACAGATGGCTGACACCAGGTTAAACCAGCCTGAGAGGGACCCCGTCGACATTGTTAACGAGTGGTTAGCGAAGAGAGCTAAAGGAGAGAAACCTTGCACCAGTGCTTCTGTGACCATGGTAACCAAGCCCAAAGAAGAGGAGCCCATCCACACAGTACCAGTTATTTTTGCTGGACATGCAAACATTCCTCCATCAGTGTTACCGCCGCCACCTGGTGACCAGATTAACCGGGGATCCGAGTGGGGCTAACAATGCGTTTCGTGTGCGTCAAGAATCGTGGAATGAACAAGTTTTTATTTATTGTAAATACACAATTTTGTAAATAAATGCCTTGAAGTTAATCTTCTATCACTGTCTTTATGTGGTGCACTCTATTATTGGATTTATACTCGAACAAGGAATGTTTATAAAATGCATGAGCCAGTTATTTTGACCAATAACCATTTTATAAAAACATTTTTCTCTTCAATGCTAACATCATTGTGCCTACACTACTAGGAATTCATTTACACAATAAACCATTCTTATTACCGTATATACTGAACTGAACCTTTTATAGTATTATCACCACGAGGAATTTAATATAGAGCATGCAAATAATTTGCATAATATAAGTATATTCCTGTTGCTTCTTATCAATTTTCAAGATGATTGTCAGTTGTTCAGTCCTCCAGCTAGTGCAAATACAAAATAGCTAAATGCTCTCCATCCAATAACAGTGTATAGAAATGTTTACATGTATATAAATAGTAGGCCATTGTAGTACTCTATAAAAAAATCATTGTAAAGAAAACGTACGCTTATTCTATAAAAATTGGACGGTGCTGGTGTAGAGAGACAACACGGATCTTAAATACACTCGTACAGTAACATGAATTCGGATGCACAGTAACATGATTGTTCAAGCAAGCCTTGAATTATTTAGTGTGCATTGTGTAAGGTGACCCCGACATGGTCGGTGGCAATGAACGAGACAAACGCTTTTGTATCCTGTGGATAATTACCAACCAAGATGAATTACACAATCCAACCAAAAATGTGGTTTGAACATCATAATTGGGCAATTTTGCACAACGCTGCGAGCAAAATTATTTTAAAAAAATTCAAACAATTGTTTTGCTGTAATTATTTCAATGCTTTCCTCTGTTTTCCGTCGACTGCTGATTTTCTCTAAAGCCTAGGACACACTAGCAATTCTGTACGCTGCCCGGCAGCGTATATTTTTGCTCACGATTTTAGAACGCTGTACGAGTTACACGTACAGCTGGACACACACTACGATTTTGCACGCTGGCCGTATTAGCATGTACAGTAACAGGTGAAAATAAATAAAGTTGGAACAGTGTGTGTTAGGCGGGAGGTTATTTAGGCGTATTTATTCGCACGTGATGAAAAACCGAGCGGAAATATTCAACATGTTGAATACGAGCGATGCACCGGGCGTATGGGATCGCGAGCAAAATACACTGCCGTGAGACCGGACACACCACGCGGACCCGGCACCGTATTTATCAATCGCACAGTGTGTCCTAGGCTTAAGCAAACAGATTTGTGCTAACTGTTGAAGGCAGGAAATCACAAGTGTGAAGTAGTTATCCACTTCCTGTTTGTTCCTCCATTTCAGACCATTATCATCCGCAATTACTCAATAGCTGAGGTCACTCACCTAACACCAGACAAAGGGCATATTTACAACACTGAATGCGTGAACAAGATGCACAACATGGATGGGTGAATGAAGAGTATGTGGATTTATCCTAACAAAGCTTTTCACTAGGTGAGTGGAGGGCTTGATACTCAAGAAACTGCCTTTGGAAGCCATGGGTCCATTGTCAGAAACAAAAGTAGTCATAACATTAGTATTTTAACTATAAATTTGCTTTGTACACTGGACCTCTATACAGTGGGTATGAGAAACTCTTTAACTTTACCATGTTTCTGTCAATGGCCTATAAGAAAAAATTAATGTTGGGACTAAATTATTTACTGACAACAGTCCCCAGTTATACTTTATATGTATCCTTGCCCACTAATAAATAATTATAAACCATTTAAATTCGGGATACGGCAAAGTGAAGACATTATCTTACACATAATGCACCGCAGCTGGTACATATTCAACATTTTTTAAATGCAGTAAAAGATGTGAATGCCTTCCGTGAATGATAACCAATCAATTAACTAATAAACCTGTTGCGAGAGATGAGAGACGATAATAATCTCAAGTGGCACGATTGGGCGAACATCTAAAGTTCATCCTCAGCCTTCTTGTGATCTGCGCTTGATTGCTCCTGTGTGCGCTTAGCTTCTGTTTTGGGCTGCGGTTCACCAGCCAATGCCTTCTGAATGTATGTAACAATCTTATCAACGCTGGTATGTGGTCCCCATGCATCAATGATGTTCCCATCACGGCCAACGAGATACTTCCAGAAATTCCAGTTAGGGACCCGCTCGGCCGAGTCTACAAACAAATATATAACGATGCGAGTATAGACAATAATTAAAGGAGCTAACTCCTTCTACTCATGCTGCAGTATAAACAACAGTTTCTACAATATAAATGATTTGTACATTCATAATTCTAGTGTTTAAACAATAAGGCGATGTGTTGGTTCAGTAGCAGTATATATTTTTTTTATATTCATCTTTATCTAGTAGTTTTACATAGCACACACTTAATGCTTATCTACCTGTCAGAAACTTCCAGGGTGGTGAGACGTCTTCCTGTCTGACATTGACTTTAGCAAACAAGGGGAAATTAAGGCCATAATTATCAGTTGCATACTGGAAGATCATTTCATTTGGTCCTGGCTCTTGACCTCCTAGAATCAGAGCAAAACTGTTGCAATATGTTAGGCTGGTTGGAAAAATATTTATTAGCGAGATTGATATTATAATCATATAACAATTAATTTCATAACATTATGTTAGAACAGCTATACAAAAGTCCCCAGAGCTAACATAAAAGTTCGTGTTTCTATGACTTACTAAGTCACGTCTAACATTACTTATAGTTATATCTGTTAGGCAATATATTATATATATATAATATATATATATAATATGAGTAGATTTGGATCGATTCAGCCGTCACATATCAGAAGAGTTAGAAAAACTTTTTTTTAATTGAGAAAGTATAAGCTATTTATTTATCTTACCCAAACTCGTTACTTGGGAATGCCATTACATTGAAAACATTTTTGCCATCCTTGTCTACGCTTAACATGTCTTGTAGACGCACCAAGTCCTTATAGTGACTTTCCGTGAAACCGCAATTGGTCGCTACGTGTCACAACTAGAGACACCTAAAAAAAAACAAAATCCATACGCCCAATTAACAATAACATGTAATAATTATCGCCAATGATCCGCGTTGTAAACTAGATACAATACTCAATAGTGTAACCCAACAAGAGTAGGGCCTATACTCTTGTGGGTTCATCAGTATCGCCATGTAAACCAATGAGTACATGTTGGGTTGCATACATGACGCGGCAATAATATGTCGAATGTGAACCACGACCATGCAGTGAATAACATTAACAAGTGCCGCGGAGCGACAGCGCTCATCTAACGTCTACTGCGGTGACTCTGTGGTGGAGTGGTGGATTCTAGTAAAACCCTGTTAGTCCCAAATGTGTTCACATACACGCCGAAACAGTGGAATGCACAGGGATGGTATCAGGAACCTTCTCAAAGGAATGTTCGTTGGGATCGTTATGAAAGTTGCCACGAGATGCCACGTTTAAGTGTCTTCAGATTAAAGATGGAAGCTCCCATCGTACGTAGTAGCAACAACAATTTGCATGACAGAATAGGTAAGCACTCATGTCCAT